ACTACGAAGTAGAGACTACTAGCGACAGGTTCAAGGTTCAAGCCCAATAAACCTCAAAAACAGTCACACACTACAAACACACTACAAGTCACGGGTTCGAATCCCGGAAAGCACAAAACAGGCAACAACAAAATTAGTGTACAACCCGCATCTCCCTGCAATTGATTGCACTCAGATGCCCTGGTACTTCTGGCAATCAGGTACCATAATGCAAGCACTGAAGGCCCAGGGACATTGTACAAATTGCATGCCCATTTGACAGGGGCCTGGCACAAAGTCCCGGGCATCGGAAGGGCAAGCCACAAACATCAGAAATTAGAGGCGCAGCATGCAAAATATTGCAAATTATAGGAGCAAATCTTGAAATCATAGATCTTCCCTTCATTTAATGATGAATAGCATGAATACCCTTTGCAAGGAAAATGAGCGATAGCGAAATGACAGAAATCCAGAGTCCAATCGGCAGTCATGAATTTCTTCTTACTTAGGAAAGTAAGGATACTAAACTCATGGCCTAAGTTAATTTTCAGACCAGATACGGCAGTACATAATCTGGAATTCGACCCGGCAGAGTGGGTCTGGACACCGGACAAGGATAGGAATATCAAGGTTCATGTCCCCATAGAGAACTACACAGTTAAATTTGGATACAAACTCTTGGTTAAAACAAAAGACCCAGATCCTATAATCGAGGCCAGATGGCAGACACTAATAGGCCAGGAAGCTGACAAACTTACACAGATTCCGTGGAAGAAATTCAAGACTATCAAACCGATTAAAATCAGAAGCCTTCAGTGGCTTATCACATACGCTGCGCTGCCAGTGAACCAATTGCTGCATACACAACGTCACAAAAACGATTCCCCCAGCTCGGACCTATGCTCAATTTGTGCAGAAGGGGCACAAGAAGACGTGGTACATTGCCTAATTCAATGTAACGAGGCGACGGATTACTGGGCACGGGCCTCAGCCCTCTGGGACTCCCTTTTTCATGCCCCCTTCCCCGAACATCCCATCCAAATCCTTCTCTGGACTAACATTCCTGACCAGCTCAAGAAGACAGAAAGGTTATGGTTCGGCCTGATCAGGAAGGTGACGTTATGGATCATTTGGAAAGAGAGATGCTGCAGAACCATCCAAGGGCTGTCCAACCCAAGAGAAAAGGTATGGGTGGAGACGAGAACTATGCTACAGGCTCAAATTCTCTGCAGATGGCAGAAGTTAACGCAGTCGATGCCTGAAGATCAGGATATGCGAGAAAAGGCCAGGAAAAAGTTCACCAGGCTGTGGTTAGTGGACGGTAAGGTGGCTGAGCTACAGAACGACCGGATTTACTGGAAAGACTGGCACAATTCAGAGACAGGCAGGAGAGCCCAGACTGTGCCGGCAACAGACAGGCAGCTGAGTTGAAGGGAGTAAGGGACACCAGGCATCAGAAACGAGAGCCAAGAGGAGAGGTAAGGAGGATTAAGATTGGTGTTGGGAGGAAGGGACCTAGGTCAGTCATGGACGCTGCAAAACGGATCCAGGTCGGACAAGGGAGAGGGCAACAAGAGCTGATACACCTGCTGACTCAGGACAAAGCAGATCGCCCCCTACATCAACGAGGGACAGGTTTACACACATTACAACAGGAAGAGAGAACGCAAAGAGTACCCTTGGTTCACAGTCATCAGGTTGTCTCCAGAGGAGGAACAACAGAGAAGGGTTATAACGATGAGGAATGAGGGAGGGTTTAGGGTTTTAGGGTCCGAATCATCGGATGTAGCATATCAGGAAGTAAAATGCACTGAGAGCCTAGGATCTAGCAATGACGAAAGTGGCAACAACCAGCAGCATAGATGCAACATTCACAAGGTGCCAATGTGCACAGTGCAACGAGTGAACCAACGAGAAATCAACAACAACACATTTGTATCATTATCATCATGGGCTGGGAAGCAGCGCAGCGGAAGATTTAGTAATCAAGGACACGTGGACAAACAACCAGGAAAGAGATAAACTTCGGAAGGGCAAGACATCAGGAAGATTGCCCTTCCGCTCACACACATGGGGAGAGATCCATAGACATGCGAGAGAGAGAGGGGAGAGACATAGGAGGTAACCAAGTCCAACCCAAGTCTGATCTCCGAATGTCGTACACAGTTCAATCCCAATGTAGAGTGTAAGTCCGATCTGAATGTCGTGTCCAATAAGGCAGAATGCCGTGTCCAAACAATGTCTGCAGTT